ACTATAACTAATATACTCAGAAAATATCAAAGCAAATTCAGAAATACCTCCCTGTGGACATACGTATTCCAGATTGGTTTCAATAACTTGCCATCTCCCACCGGTTACAAGACAAACCAAATATTCAATCATTTTTTTAGAGAGATTTTAGAGAGATTTCCTAAACAAATAACAACTAAACTGATAATTTTCTTTATATATACAGTAACATTATTTTGTAGTCAAACCAATTGATTTCATAGTCAAATTTAAAAAAAAAAAAAAAAAATTAAAAAAAATTCGCAAATTCACAGATGGAATACAGAGTAAATCGCAGATGGACGCAGTCCATCTGCGATTTTAACCCTGAAAAGCCCCTATATATACAAAAAAAAAAAATCCAACCCACCTGCGAATGTACAAGTAGTTAAAGCACACTTGTGTTTTAGCCACTTGTACATTCGTAGATGGACTCCCATCTGCGATTTTGAAGGCCATTTTTGCAATATCGATTTTTTTGGCTATTTTCCGCAAAGTGATTAGGATAATTGACTATTTTTGTCATTTTCTCTTAAATAAAGATGTACCTTTTCATTTATCTCAACTCGTTCACTAAATTTTATTTGGTCCATATGTCACCAGATGTGTTCACATGGAATTGATGTGACAGACACATCAATATTTTCCTTTCGTGTATATTTCAATTAAATTTAGGTATAAACCTTAAATTATTATTTTAATAACTTTTTAATTAAATTTCTCTCTCATATAGTCTCCCCAAATATACAATTTCATTCATCCAAAACAAATTCTGAGGAATTGGCACATCAATGCATTGATCTATACATATAGAAAAAGAAGCACTTGTTAAGTCACACATTATATATCTCTGCATTTGAAACCTTAATTATATATATATATATATATATATAAAAGTTAAAAATCTTTTTTCATATATTTATTTTATAAACAATGAAAATAGCAAAATCCAGTTATAATACTAAATCAAAACAATTAAACAAGCTATTAGCAAAATTGCAAAAAAAAGGATAATAAAAGCATGGGAATCGGAATCGTAAAAGTTATTCATTTTTTTTTTATATATATATATATAAAAAAAAGTTAAAAATCTTTTTTCATATATTTATTTTATAAACAATGAAAATAGCAAAATCCAGTTATAATACTAAATCAAAACAATTAAACAAGCTATTAGCAAAATTGCAAAAAAAGGATAATAAAAACATGGGAATCGGAATCGTAAAAGTTATTCATTTTTACAACTACCGAAATCAATTGATTGAATTCCGAAACTATATATATACAGCGTAATCGGAATCGGAATCGGAATCATCTGTAACTCCCATTTGGCCTCCATTCATCACTGTCCCTCAGCTGTTCTGCTAAGAAATCAACTGGCAATGATCCTGGAGGAGCCAACTTCTGACTGAAATCACCATATTCATCATCAGAATCTTCATCAAAGTAACTCTCATCTTCACTGTAATCCTCCTCTTCAAAATCTTCATTTGACACGATTTCTGCAGGATATGAATGCTCTGCCACCTGTGAAATCGTTTCAAACTCCTCCACCACTTTCAACAGATCATCGGGTCCCACCCCAATATCTTCCAACAACATCGCCTTGTTTGACTCAATGGCTCGTCTCCATAACAATGTCATTTTTGGGCTTGAAATAGATGATGCTGTCTTTGACTTGTAAAAGTCAACTTCAGTGTTTTCTGATATAGGTGCACCATGGTACATAGATTTCCAATCATGACCTCTCCAAATCAAGATTTGTTCATCATCAAAAGATAGCAGCACACAAGGGACTAATTCCTAGAGAATACAAAACATCATTCATCATCAATAGATTAAATGACTTTTTTTTTCTGACTTAATACAGAGAGAACAACTTAATAGAGAAAGTCAGGATAAAACCTTTAACTTAGCCCCAAGCTTTTTGTAATCACTTGCATGCATCCCTGAACAGTCAATCTTCACCAATGCAGACTCTTCAAAAGCTTGTCTAACATCTTTTACTAGATTAAGGTACACTCCATTTTTAGCTGTAAAAGAATAAAGAAATTCAAACTATGAAGTGCAAAATTGAGCATCAATAATCTATAATGAGCAGATGTGTAATGAAGTTACCTAGTTTACAAATTGGGGGAAGTTTTTTCCCTTTTATTCTCAACTTATCGGCTTCTTCTTTAGTCAAACCTTCAGGTGCTTCTTGTATGAGTTTAGGGTAAACTGGGGTTGCAGGTTTCCATAGCATCACAGGATATTGTGGACGAGTGTTATGATCATAGTGCCTACCACGGAAAAGATAAAGCACACCACCAGTTTTAAGAATAATTTTACCACCAGTCTTCTCCTGTTGTTTGAACTAATCTTTAGCTCTAGCACATGATGAAAAATGAAAATCCCAAGATGGTTTACTTAGATTGAATCAAAGAACCTGAAGAACTCGACAAACGTTTCTCATGTCAACAGTGGGAACTCCAAGGCATCGGACTTTACAGACAGGATCTCTCCTCCAGTGGGAATGTATCAGTTCCAGCATATTATGCGTCAATCCATCCCTTCCTACAATATCCAATTTATGAGTTAAAACCATTTCTGTTTCACTAGTGAATTGTAATCGCGATTATATGCAATTTCTAGGCTGTTTATATGTGCATCTTACCAAGATTGACCTGGCGATTACTAGAAATGTGAGGTTTAACAAGCTCTAGTCTCTCTGCTCTACTTAGTGGCTTCCCAAGCACTTCCTCCCTCGGCCTCACCTCAAAATTTCCAAGCTCATATGGTTTTAACATCTCCAGTTGCTTGGAATTGGAATTGTTACCCGGATTCAATGACTCGAAAAGCTTGATCTTCCTGGTTGATTTCTTCAATGGCGCCTTGCCAGTCCAAGGCCTTGGCATAGTGGGCGGCGCGAATGGCAGAAAAGCCGGCTCACGAATGGCAATTGGCTTGGCTCGGGGAATTTCGGAGTAACTGTACTGGAATTCAAATGGGGCACCGGGGAGCTGGTAGGATACACCGGATTCACCTACGACGACGGAACGGTCGCCATCGGAGGAAACAACTTCACCATCTCTAACAGGTTTGTAGTATTTGGAGCGGCGGTGGAAGGTTTTGAAGGCGGGGTTGGATTGGGGTTTTGGTGGTGGTGGTTTTTGGGATTTGCGGACTGGTGGATATTTGGGAATTGGGATTGGGGGTTTGA